TCACAAAGTCATCTAGTCTAGCCAACTTCGGGTCATCTGCAAATTTGCTAAGTGTGCACTCATTCCCATTAGCCAGATCATTAATGAAGATGCTAAACAATAGCAGATCCAGGACACATCCCTGGGAAACCCCACTTGATACCTCCTCCTGATGACTGACTGCTTCTTGAGCACAGCGATCCAACCAGCTGTGTATCCATGTTACTGTCCTTTTCTCTAGTCCAGTGGTTTCCAACCTTTTTTCATGTGCAGACCCCTTTGGAAATGTTGAATGCAGGTGTGGACGCCTTTGAATTGTAAGAGTGGGTATTCACATACTCTTGATTGATCACAGCCATCTTTTGCAGACCCCTCGGACTAGTTTACGGACCCCCAGGGGTCTGCGGACCACAGGTTGAAAACCACTGGTCTAGTCTGTATTTCCTTAGCTTGCTAATGACAATGTCAAGGGAGACCAGTGTCAAAAGCCTTGCTAACATCAAGGTATATCAGATCCACAGCTCTTCCCCCATCCACGGAGCCTGTCACCTTATAGAAGTGAATCGGGGCATGGGAAGTGCCGTGGTTCCTGTTTGACTTAGCCCAGCTGGAGACTTGCTTTTTAACTTCCACAGGAAAGTTGACTAACCGGCTCCCAACGAGAGAGGGAGGGGATCTGGGCAGAGGCAGGGAGGTGGGCTTGGCCTGCAGCACAGAACAGGTCAGCAGCAGCAGAGCCCCTCGGCATCATCTCCAGGGCCTCAATACCGCAGATGCATTGTGGAGCTGAAAGCAATCAGCTGGCTTTGGAGGGAGCGGTCAGGAGCTGGCCTGTAACCTGGGCCTGGTCAGTGTGGGGTTAACCTGGTGCTTCCTGTCTCCGCAAGGCTTTGTTTTTCAGAAGAACTCCGCCTCTGGCCTGCCACCTCTGCAGGGTGCCTTCCTTCGCTCTCAGCCCAGGCCCTCTTGCATTGTCCTTCTCTGGGGGGGCTCCCAGCAGAAACCCCTTGATGGCTGAGGGTCATTAGTGCCTTGTATGACCTGGATCTTGCTGGGGAATTGCTTTGCTCTCCACCTTCCTGTCAAGAGGGGCTTGTGGCGACTCAAATCTCATCCCTTGCTGCCACCTACTTTTGCCTTGGGATCCTACCAACGTCTGAGCTCTTTGTTACTGGCCTCTTTCGCTCCAGAAGCAATATCGGGCACAGCCATGAGGCACCGAAACGTTTCTGCCTGAATTTTGAAATTGAAGGTCGGGACCCCTGTCCAAAGCTTGCCATTGGATCTGCATTTGTCAGAGTGCAGGGTCTCGAGTGAGGCTTTTAAATGCAAGAAGCAATTCTTGTGGGGGGTTGGGAGGCTGATATCTTTTATTGAACCAGCTGCATGGTTGGAAAAAAATGAGGCAAGCTTTATTCACCAAGTGTGATGAAGACCTGATGAAGAATGCCGTGCATTCAGCGCTTATCTAACTATTCCAGCCCTACAGTTAGTCCAATAAAAGATCTCACCCCCCAACCCCCGATCCTTGTTTCTCATCATTCCTGGACCATCAGGGCTGTAACATCACTCTAACATTACTCTTCAACACCTCTTTGTTCCCTTGCTGAGGGTGTTGGCTCAGAGCATCAGGTCTTGGGGCTGAATTCCTGCTTCCTGCAACTCGCAGCTCAAACCCTGGAGGATCGTGGCGGCCCAGTCTTCAGGTGTTCTTTGAGTCCGTTTGGATCTGGTGTTCCTTCCTCTCGCTGGCGGAGGAGCAGGTGAAGCCAGACTGCTGTCAAGTCGGCCATCGCTGCTCCAATCCTGCCGAGCCCTGCAGCAAATCAAGGAAGCAGGAAGCGGAGACCTCTGATATTTCGAACACAGAAGAAATTCAAGCAGGGCTTTCCTGAAAAACGGAGTGTGTTCGTACATGGGGATGGGTGAAGGGCAGAAGCAAATGTCTTGTTTTATAGCTCAGCTTGACCAGAGATGAGCAGAAGTTTTCCGGAGGCTGTAGGTGAGCAGTAGAAGAAACATTTTCATGGTGTCCTACCACCCCAGGAAGCGGCGTTGTTCCAGGTGGGTTTTTTTTGAGCCTTCATGCTGTGGTCTTGGACACGTCCTGAGTGAACGCTGCCACTGGGCAGCCACCGTTGAGCTACCGTGACTTCTAGACCTCTAGGGACTTGTGGTTCTGCACTAGGCTGTAGGTGGCAACTGTGGCAGAAATGCCACCATCTGTGTCTCTCTCCAGAAATCTGTCCCTGTCAGCTTGGGACACTGGGGTAGAATTCCTAAGGGAGGGGGGATTTTCCCTGCCTTAGTGACAAAAGCCTGGTGCCTAGGGGGTGGTCCCTCTGGTCACCTGAGTGGGGGCGGGAAAACCCCCTGCTCTACTGCCCAGGTAACCAGTGATGCTTTTTAAATTGGTTGGCTAATTGCCAACACTGCTGGCTTCGATTGGACCGGGCTGCTGGGGTCAGAAAGGCTCTATAAGGGCCTGGTCCAAGAAGAAGGAGGAGAAGCCATTTTTCCAGCATGGCACAAGTGTCAGGACACAGGGAGAGAGTCTGATCCATCTGAAACGCTCTCTCTGGAAATCTCCGAGCCAGATCTCTACCATCTTCTGGATGATACTTGTAAGCGTTTCTAAAGAGCTAGTCAGTTCACAGTGATGCATTTGCGTATCAAACGGCTACCTCAGTCAGACTGTTTTGCTCAATGGTAATCCCTTGATAGTGCTCTACATCTTACCCTATTCTAACCCTACCCTTTGCAACCAATACAGTTCTCCTTTGTGACTGGTGTAGGAGACTTATTGAGGGGTGGGTTTAATGATGCCTAGGAGGACCCTTGGGCAGTGGACTAAGGGAGTCTATCCTTTTTGGCCCCCAACTTGGGGAAGTGCCCCAAGTTCTTGTATTGGGTTGAAGTACCCATAAGACTATTAGGCTTGTGTTTCCCTGAGGACACAGGACCCAGACAGTCCCTTCTCAGGGTGGTGGCAGCACACGTTACCCCTGGAAACTGTGGTGGGGCTCGAAAGGGGGTCTGCCGGGGCTTGGGTGCCCCTGGGGAGACGCATGGAGTCCGGTAGGTGGATGGGCGTGGTGAGGTGGGAAGCTCAATGCAGGAGCTTCCCCTACTGGCCCACCACAGCACCTACCAGATAGATGGAGAAGACAGGACTGTCTGTGCCTGGATCTGGCACCGGAG